GCTCCCCCAGGGCCATCCTGGGGTGCACGAGGGTCTGGGGGTGGCAGGGCCCGGCCGCCCCCTCCCCTCAGCTGGGGACACTTGGTCGCCGGCCGGACAGACGGACCAACAGGCAGCACGTGCAGAGCTGGTGCTGGTCACCGTGCTCTGGGAGCCTGGAAGAGGCAGTTCCGTTCCCGTGGGACTCGGGATGTGGGTGGGCAGGAGAAGGGGACATTTCCCACCCAAAAAATGGCCGTGGGGGTGGGAAATGGGGCTTTGCCCTGGGCTCAAGCGTCGGCACAACCTGCGTGAAAGGTTCCATCCTGCTGGTCTTGGTCCCTGTGCTTGCCCTGAGGAGAACCAGGCAGGGCTGGGTGGCCCGGGGTGGGTGGGTGCCCAGGTGGGCTCCCCTCCAGGGGCACGGGGCACAGCAGAGCGTGCCCAGCACCTCCCTGTCCCTCACCTTGCTGGCACGGCAGGGGTACATGGAGACTGGGAGCCTGCCCAGTCAATGGGAGCTGGGGAAGCTGTCGCGATCTGCGACCTATTTTATCTCCTTTTTGGAGAGATTTTAACTTACCGGGACACGCCGAGAGTTCCGCACGCAGCGCTCGCCTCTCCCAGAGGAGCAGTGAACTTCGGCACTGACTTTTCAGGTGAGACACTTGGTCAATACTCCCTCATGCTTCCAATAACAGCAGCCAACCCCCAATTAGAATGCATGAATACACGGTTAACTGAGGGGAAAAATAAAACAATTTGGGGCAGGAGGCTCAAAGAGGGTAATCAAAAGACATAGGAGCTGTGATGTGTCTTTAAAACACCAAATACCAAGCAGTTACATATGCCTTAATACTTATATTTAGATACACCTTATCATTTACACACTATTCTTAGTATCTAAGACTAAGAGGAAGAGGAAGGAGGGATATGCCCAAGGCCTGCCCCATACATAGTTATGGTTTGTGTAAGTGAGACAGCAACGCCTTAGGGAGAGAATGATACCCAAAATACAATCCCTTACTTTATTCCTTGAGATGGTCTAGGTATTTGTATATTATCTGCAGATGCCTCCCCCTGCACCCTTGTCTTAGAACCCACGGGTGGCAGGAAGAAGTCTCACCGCACGTGGTTGGCAGCAGGTAGGCCTGAAGGCAGAGAGGCAGGACTGCAAGCAGGGAGGCAGGATTGCAGGCAGGGAGGCAGGACAGCAGGCAGGGAGGCAGGACAGCAGGCAGGGAGGCAGGACAGCAGGCAGGGAGGCAGGACAGCAGGCAGGGAGGCAGGACAGCAGGCAGGGAGGCAGGACAGCAGGCAGGGAGGCAGGACAGCAGGCAGGGAGGCAGGACAGCAGGCAGGGAGGCAGGACAGCAGGCAGGGAGGCAGGACAGCAGGCAGGGAGGCAGGACAGCAGGCAGGGAGGCAGGACAGCAGGCAGGGAGGCAGGACAGCAGGCAGGGAGGCAGGACAGCAGGCAGGGAGGCAGGACTGCAAGGAGGGAGGCAGGAACTGCAGGGAAGCAGGACTGCAGGCAGGGAGGCAGGACTGCAAGCAGGTAGGCA